ACATCCTGGGCTGTGCGGGCTGCTTCAGGTCAGTTGGCTGGCAGGCTGTGCTCTGCTTCAGCTGCTCCTGCATCTTGGACCCAGGGCTGTCCCTTGGAGGGGCACAGGAGAGCCTGGCAGGGAGGGCGAGTCACCTGCTGACGTGCGGAGACTTGTCTGGAGGAGCCCCTGCTGCTGCTGCAGGTGCTAGCGACAGTCTGGGAGATGGGAACAGATGGAGAAGGGAACAGATGTCGGCGTGCTGGAGCAGTGGCAGGGAGCCACAGTGCCTTGGGGCTCTGGGTGTTATGACCCATGGGTCAGCAGGGAAGCCAGGTAGGCCTTTGGGGCAGGTGGAGCAGGGTTCTAGGTTGAGTCTGAGCCCCAGCCGCGGCCCCAGAAAAGCAAAGGCGGGTGGGCTCCAGGCCGGCTGCTCTTCCAGGCGTCCCCAGCCATTGCCGGGGCCAGGGCTGGTTGGCCAGATGGGCAGGGGCAGGGAGCAGGGCCGGGCGGGCATGCCAGCGCTCTGTACGAACATGGAGACAGGTGGGCTACGTGCCTGGAAACAGCGGGGCAGGGCACGTCTTCCTGTGAGGGCGGGGACGTCTCTCACCTCCCTGGAGGGAGCGCGCGTACAAGTGTCCACCACTCACTCGCTGATTCCGCTTTCTCATCAGAGCAGGTGAGTTTGTTGGTAGTTTTTTTTAAGACAGGCTTGGAACATCTCTCTTTAATGGAAATCTGCAGCCCAGCAGATGAAACACCTAGAGGTTTAGCCTAGCAGTTGAGAAATGAGATTGTTTCCTTCTACTTAAACAGTGCCCTGCCAAGGCGATTCCACATGGTGAAGGTTCCTGGTTCAAGTCCGGAGACCTCCCTGAGAATGCCAGCTACATGCTTGTCCGTGAACCGGGGCTGGCTGAGGCTGGGGGCAGATCCCTGAGTGGATACCCTGCTGGGGTGCTCACTCTGTCTGTCTCATTTATGGAAGAAAGAAATAAATAAACTTAAAGAAAAAGCATAACATGGATATTAATAAAGATTCTAAATTCCATTTTCCCATGATCCTAAAATTTTATTTCAAATCAAGCTACTAGACTGGATAGTGATCAGATCAGCACTTCCTATTCAAAGCTCACCGAGTATTTAAAAATCCAAATATTTAAAAAGCTTTCGTTCTCTCGGTGCATCTGTGACCATGAAATGCAAACTCGTGGAAACAAGTCTAACCCCAGAGAAGGTTTATGGTGAAGGTGAACAGGCCCGGCCCTCCTCCCCAGGCCTGGCCTCGCTCACCAGAGGCAGCTTCTTCTAAACATTTCCATTCTGGGTACTTGGGGTGGGCCGCTTCTACCCGTCGGTACCTGCCTCACTGACGTCTGTAGAAACCGGGTCGACCTCCTGCGGTGGCTTTGTGAACACGGCTCTCCCTCCTTCCATCCTCCGAAGGCTGATAGTCTAACGTAAGTATTTTAGTTTTAACTTTGAGACTCTAAACTATGTCATGAGCTTCGATTCTGTGTTCCATCGATTTCGGTGAGCACGGATCTGCCCCATACGCCCCCATCCCACTGCCTTTCGGAAGGCTCTCTTCCAGCCCTGAGCTGTGCCCCTGGCTGGCCCATCAGGCATGCCATGTCCTTGGCTGTGGGGGCTGCTACGTTCTGGCATTTCCCCAGTCTGGGCCATTAAGAATCCCCACGGATTCCACCATGAATACTTCTCTTTTTTTTAATTTTTAATTTATTTTTAAATTTTAAAAGTTATTTTATTTATTCATTAATTTATTTTTAAAATTTGACCAGAGAGAAACAGAGAGAGAGAGAGAGAGAAAGTGAGAAAGCGAGCTGCCAGGTCCAGGACTTGAACCATGGTCAGCCATGTGGGAGTGTCCAGTGCCTTAAACACCACGCCACCTGCTGGTCCCAATTTCTTTTTTTTTTTAATTTTTATTTTTCCTTTAGGATGCATGCACTCACCTGAGAGAGACAGAGAAAAAGAGAGAAAGAAAGTGAGGAATCACTCCTTGTGGGGGGAGCAGGGATGACCATGTTGTAATCTAGTCTCTTCCATTCTCTCAATATTTGGGGCACACACACGCACACACGCACACACGCACACACACACACACACATGGTGCAATTTTCATGCTGCTAGGCCTGGGACTTGAACTGCAGTCAGCCATGTGGGATCCAGTCACCTTAACCACCACCCCACGGGCTGGTCCCCACTTCTCTGCTTTTCTCTGGGATTACTTCTCAGAGAAGATGCAAGCGGGCTCTCGTAGTCCCTCCAGGCCCTGCCACATGGACACATCTTGCCAGAGGTGGGCGACAAGCCGAGCTGTGGGGACCGAGGGAGCTGACTTGCCCGAAGCCTTCCGTTACCTGAGCTAAGAGCCATCGTTCCCTTGGGGGCGAGGTGGGGGGCAGGGATGGCCATGTTGTAATCTAGTCTCTTCCATTCTCTCAATATTTGGGGCACACACACGCACACACGCACACACACACACACACACGGTGCAAGTTTCATGCTGCTAGGCCTGGGACTTGAACTGCAGTCAGCCATGTGGGATCCAGTCACCTTAACCACCACCCCACGGGCTGGTCCCCACTTCTCTGCTTTTCTCTGGGATTACTTCTCAGAGAAGATGCAAGCGGGCTCTCGTAGTCCCTCCAGGCCCTGCCACATGGACACATCTTGCCAGAGGTGGGCGACAAGCCGAGCTGTGGGGACCGAGGGAGCTGACTTGCCCGAAGCCTTCCGTTACCTGAGCTAAGAGCCATCGTCACTGCCCACGGGCCGTGTCAGCCTCCTGTGAGCGGCGCCCTCCCCCGTGTCAGGCGGGAAGGAGTGCCC